TATATATATATATATATATAAATGTGTGTGTGTGTGTGTGTGCGTGTGTGCGTGCGTGCGTGCGTGCGTGCGTGCGTGCGTGCGTGCCGTTCACCCTTTTTCTCTACTTGGTAGCCTAGCAAGCAGAACGGAAGGAACTTCAAGAAGCGAGCGCAGGACTTTCTGCTGAAGTGGTCGTTCTTCGGCGCTCGCATCGTGCAGAGCCTGACGCTAAACAACGCTCAGAGCTTCGGTGATTAGTCCACAATGTGTCCGTGTTATCATGTCATGTCATCGGTGTTGTCCTGCTCTGTCAACCCTGGTGTCAGGTCTTATCACTTCTGCTGTCCTGCCCTAACATCCCAGCTGCCCCTGTCCCTCTGTCTTATTAGCCTCGTCACCCTGTCTTACTTTTCCCGTCTTCATATTTTATTAGGACTGTTCTCTTGTCTTAATTGCACAACCCTGTTTTATTTGCCTTGTCTCGTGTGTGATTTGCCCTGTCCTCCTATCACAAACTCGATATTCGCGGTCTTATTTTTGAATATTCTTCCATTTTTCTTCTTCTCATTCTTCCGTCTGAATAATCCGAGTTAATTTTATTATTTCTATACTCCTACCTTACTACAGATGCCAACGACCTGTAGTGTGTGCATCGGAATGTCTGCGAATGAATAAAATCAATGGACCTTTGGCACGCTAGAACAAAATTACCCACTTCTCTTACCTTCAACAAATATTCAAGCATTATATTACGGCAGCTAATAGTATAGACACTGTGGGGGAACGAATGTGTGAATCTCATTGCTCCCTGCAGGTTCGTTTCATCTCATCCGCATGCTGATGGACGAGTATGTGCTGCTCGCTATTGAAGCCCAGCTGAACGGAGAGCAGGATGCGGAAATGCAGGCCAGCTTCGAAAAACATTACGCAATCAACGGTAACGCCATCTATCGGTAGATCGCATGCAGTAGCGATGACGAGAATTTATGTATGCGGTCTTGTTGTGGTGATCGCTCGCATAGCATTCCAGTGTGTGTGGGGGAGGGGGTCAGTTTTCATAAGCATCAGCAGCGAGGATGTGCTGACCTAGCTATAATGTCAATTACATGCTTATGGGATGTGCAGTATCGGGAAGATGAGCGAGGGACTAAGGATTATTCATCGTTATAACATCGCATATTTCGTTATTCATCGTTATAACATCGCATATTTCGTTATTCATCGTTATGCATCGAACATCGTTATTCATCGCAGAGTTGCGCGATTTTTCTCCTCTTACATCTTCTCGCTTCTACTAGACACATCACGCATCTTCAACATGTCGGCCGGACCCGGAACCTGTTTCCTCGCCAATCGATCCGGGGCTGGTATTATACAGGTACATGTATGTGTATATGTTATATAT